CATGAAGCTGGGTGACAGCATGCCCAGGAGACTACAGGCTGTCATTAAGGCTAAGGGTTGCCCGACTAAGTATTGATAGTTGTGTAAATACTGTCATACTAACAGCTGTCTAATTTTTGGTTGATTGTAAATAAATAACATACCTTTCTATCAAAGTTATCTAACATTATCAAGCTGAATTTGTTCTGACACAGTTTAACTCGGAATTCTTGTTATATTTTATTACTATTTTCTAAACTATAGCGAATAAACTGTGATAATGTGAGAAATGTTGAAGGTGTCTGAATAAATTTTGGTTTGACTGTATCTATTTGATAAATGAAGTTAACCAACTAACATTATACATACTATTTTGGTTTCTGTACCCAATATTTAAAAAATGTACAAATGCAATAAAAATATTGGTATCTGTACTCAGTATCGGCAAGTACCAAAAATAAAAGTATCGTATCGGGCGAGTACTGGAAAAAGTGGTATCGGTGCATCCCTAGTAGGAACCCAAACTGTGTGGTTGCCAGCATTATTAAAAATTATTTTGTGTTTCACAGAAGAAAGAAATGCATACAGATTTGGAACCAAATGAGCAGGGGGGGGGGGGCGCAGGAATTGTAAATGTTCTGGGGGGGTGCCCCACTGTCAACAAGCTTGGTCCCCCTTCACTTGGAATCAAATCACACCAAACAATGCTAAATTCAAATCTTCATTCGCTGGCTGGCACTGAGCCAGAGACACACACTTTGTGTCTCTGGCTATTCCAAGCGCTATCATTGCAGTCAGCGAGTGTTGCAGTTGAACAATCCACAAGTCGTCAAATAAAGCGCGCACATCCATAATAAAACGTGCCTCCCACTGCTCCGAGGGGTAAATAAAGGCCTCCTGTAGTGAATCGCCTTCCGCGTATGACAGATACCGGAAGTGAGAGAAAAGTGTTTATTACGTTTGAAATATGGATATTTTTCTTACAAAAACGCATGGATTCACTACAGGAGGCCTTTATTCAACCCCCGGAGCCGTGTGAGGCACGTTTTATTATGCATGCGCGCCGTTATTTGACGACTTGTGGACTGTTCAACTGCAACACCCTCTGACTGCAATGATAGCGCTTGGAATAGCCAGGACAATTTTTAATATAACTCCGACTGGATTCGTCTGAAAGAAGAAAGTCATATACACCTAGGATGCTTTGAGGGTGAGCAAAACACAGGCTAATTTTCATTTTTGGGTGAACTAACCCTTTAAGAAAAAAGACGGATTTTTATGCAAAGTTAATAGATTACACTATTAGGCTACTTTACTAGAGAACTAACAATCTATAAAGGTGCAAAATGCATTTACTTGCACATATTTGAGAATCGAGATATTTCATGATATATTTTGGGAATATTTTGAATACAAATAAAAATATAATAAAACCCCTGCTGAAAAAAATAGACACCATTAGAAAATTTGTAATGGTTTTACTGGTTATAATGGGACTTGTGTTGGTTTTACTGGAAACTGTGATGGACCCTGTTGGTCTCTACTGGTAGGTTGCCTTCTATTGGTGGCTTGTTAAAACCAATTAATCCTAATGGAACATGTCCCAAAACACACTACAGAAAACAATTTTTAATGTTATTTGTTGTGGAAACCATTAAAATGTTCTGTGATGGTTTTATTGTTTTTTTTTTTTCAGTAGTGACATAAGCCTATATCAGTTTGTGGCTGCTGCGTGTCACATGACAAGCATGAGATCCCCCCCATCCCCCATGCCCCCTGAAAAATGATGCCCCTGACACACATTACAAAATTATTTGTCAAATAAATGAAACATGATGAAACATTAATTTTAGTTGAAATTGTAATAGATTACTTCTAGAGATTGCAGCGATACATGACATTGTTAAAAATGACTGAATGAATAACAGGCTACTTAAAGTAGGTTAAGATGAATTTTAAAATTGTGCCCCCTAAAAGCACAAGTGGCCCCTGTCTGGCCCACCCAGTTACTGTGGTCTAGAACCGCCCCTGCAAATGAGGGTAAACGATGACAGATTTTGCATTTTGGGGTGGACTATCCCTTTAAGAAAATTAGCGAAAAGCAGAAATTATTTTTTTCTTCAGACTTAATCACAACGGAGACGCGTTTCACAAGAGACCGATCATATACGGTATATCATATCTTTTCAACCACTGGGAGACTCAAACCCACCGCTGACCAGGGGACAGATTATATAACGCACAACAACCAGACGCTGCACTTTCTATTTCAGCGCACTGACCAAACGCACCTGATTTGTCAGTCAAACCACAACAGCATGATACAAACCTCTGGCCCGGGTGCTCGGGTAGATCTTCTGCGCCTCGTACAGCAGCTGCAAGGCTTTCTCTTTGCGTCCTGAGCGCAAACACAGCTTGGCTTTCTCTATCAGCCTGTCAGACTCCTCTCTGTCCATCTCAAACAGTGACATTTCAAACAACGACACCTCAAACCCGCATCAAATGACGTGACAACGAACAGAAGTAAAATAATCAAAACAAAGCGTGTTGGACTGTAAAAATGACTCGCAGTGTTGTTGACATGAAGCTAAATCTAATGCGTTGTGCTAATACAACCACAATTTAACTTCCGATTTTAGACATCTTCCGCTTTCCTAACGGACACGGCGACTTTATTATCAAAACAATTCATGTTTGACCTTCTATATTAGGCTTCGTCATTGTAAAAGGTGCGAGAAAGACAGAAATGCAGTACTGCTTGTACCCTCCATCGCTAAACGGAAGCGGAAGCGCATGTTGCGGTGGACTACAATCCAAACAGCCAATTAGAAGGCGACATTCCTTGCCGTAAATGGCATGATGGCAATACCATACAAATCCTAGTTGGCACTCGGCGCTAATGAGTGATGCTGCCGTGTGTGTTTTTCGATTAACCCGGTATTTGTTGGATAAACACACTTTGATTGGATCTCATACAATGGCCACAATGACCTTGTAGAATTACTTCAAATGAACTCATAAAAAAATCCACGTTTAATATGAAAAGAGCCGTCACTAGGGTTTTATTTATACTTTACAGCGCATACAAACAACAACAACAAACCTGTGCCCACTGAATGTCGGCTGTTAGGGGATGCACACAATTTCAAGATGAGATGAAAGCACTGTTTGTCGCCCTCTTGAGGCTGTGACAAGGAACATGAAATTTCAGTATGGACATTGTTAGAAGCATCAAATGTGAATCTAACAAATTATAAGGATTGGAGACAAAGATTTGTCCTCCAAACTAAATCCCAACATATCTTGAACATATTCTGACAAGAGTCAACTATGCCATGAAGGATGCTCAACAGCATTTTTCATTCATATCAGGTCAGATCAAGCGGAACGTGTTTTAGGTTAATATACACATTAAATTACACAATTATATAAAGGATTTGATGTATCCTTTTAAGTTTTCACCATTTCAAGATTTGTTGAACTGGACTAGAGATTTTATACAGTGGCCTCAAAAAGATATTTGAATATTTCAGCCACATTTAAATTGCATTAGCTAAATTTTCAGACCAAGTGGCACCTGCAAAGAAATGTTGCAAGAAACTACCCTTTCTTGCAATTAATTTTTGTCAACCCGTGAATATAAAGTCAAGATCACAAGATGAAATTTGTTAAAATTGAATTTCTGGTCATTGAAGCTGGGGTTACACTACACACATATGGCAGTATAATAATAATAATGATTATTGTTGTTTTTATTATTATTGAATTTACATTTGGAACAACAATAATTAATTATTTAAATAAAAGAATACATAAACAATTAATTAAAATATAATAATAATAATAATAATTATTATTATTATTGAATTTACATTAGGAACTGCAATAATTAATTAATATGTAAATTAAAATATTAATTAAATTAATTAATTAAAATATACTGACAACAACAACAGCAATAATAATATAGTTATTATTATTACATTTACAGTTGGAGCCACACAAAGATTATGGAATTATGGCTCTGTATGAGCGCTTATGATATCATAGAGGAGTTTTAGAACGTTGCGCGGGACTATATAAAGCGCGAGACTCGCCTGCTTACTTTGTGGCCAGTAAGGAGTATTGTTATCAACGGTGTTTACAGTGTGTATTCAGTTGTTGATAGCGTTTTATTTAGCCGAGTATGGGACAGCGACAGCAGGCACGTGCACACAGACATAAAAGGGGGCTTGAGCACCTGCCCTTTTTCTTCCTCGAGAGAAAATGCCTTTTTTTTGTCTTTTTTTTTTTTGTGTCTTTTTTTTTTTTGATAAATTAATATATGTATAGCTATATGTGCGCGCGTGTGTGTGTTTCTGTTTGCGCACAGCTTTCCCTGTCAAACTAATAAAAAATATCAAAATATCAGGTGGGGTCGGAAATGTTGAGACTGTTCAGTTGCGACGCCCCTCCGCGCAGGCGCAGCACAGCAGTGTAGTACACCTTTTGTGCGCTGTAGCACATGCGCATCAGGCAGAGAGCCGCAGATTGCAGAAGTGAAGCCCTCCCTCCCTTTCCAGTTGTGTTTGTCTTGGTGTGGAGGTGAGTGGTGATGAACAAAAGACTAAAGACTAAAAGCTACCTGTGCCTCGAATTTACAGCTAATTACCCAAAAGACAAAAGGCAATTATAGTTAATTTGTCTTGCTAACATCCATGACTCATGAGAGCTACATGATTCAGTTCACTGCATGATTCAGTTGATTAAAATGCATTTAGATGTGATATTGATTTTATACAGCAGTTCAATAAACAAGAATTTGATATTAAGATGCTTACGTTTTAGACACAATATTGACTGTTTTTGTTCTATTTCTCCAACAAATATAATTCCAATTTGCATCTCTGAGCAACATGACGGTGTTTCGTTCCTGAATGAATCAACCATTTAATTGATTCGGTTCAGTCGCAATGACTCACTTATTAACAGTGACTTGCTGCCACCTACTGGCGGTTTTAATTTCACATTTAAAGTATCTTTTAATTTTTTTGTCTTTTTTATAATTTCAGATATCAGTATTCAACGTTTTATGTTTAAAATATCAAAACAGTATGAATGCATTTGTAACTGCAGGTTAAATACATTCATGTCCTGCATTAAACAGTGTGTAAATGCATCTAACTGCCCCTTCTAATGCAGCTTCTGTGTTTTCTCGGCATTGCAAAGATGGACTTTGTCAATACTGATTTCATTTAAAAGGTAAAAATCTATTTAAACTTATTGGAAAAGATTAATTTCTATCACTGCTGTGAACTGATCACCACACAGAATATGAAGAATATCAAAAATTTTAGGAGTCAGCTGTCCACGGCAGTCCTTAAGATATCAGCACAATAACACACTCAGCAAAATATCATCTAATTATCGTTATCAATAAAATCCCAGAAAATATTGAGGTATATTTTTTGTCAATATCGCACACCCCTAATATATTTAACGTTTTGATTAGAATTTTTTTTTTGAAATAAATATGAGAAGTGCCCTTTTTTCCACTTGAGCCCCTGCCCCTCAAAATGTCTGTGCACGTCCCTGAGCGACAGTCTCGCAGAGAGAAAGCGGAGGGTGGTGAGTGTGTGCACAGGGTCAATCCCGGTACATCACTTTTAGTAGCCCGGTTGAATTAAAGAATATTGACTCCTCCACTGATGTTTGTGTATGGCCCTTTGTGTTTATTTTCTTCCTTTGTATCCACATTACCACACTGTAAGAGCTTGTGCCTCTCAATGCCTTAATTTAATTCCGTAGCACAGTGACCGCATGGTTCCTTATCTCCATCCATGTGCGATCGAGACGACAGCGTGACTTCCGTAGAGGTCCGGCGAGCCGCCCTTTCATAAAATGTCTCTATAGGAACAGTAACTTAATGCATGTAAATTATGATTTCTAAATTAAATAGACACATAACCATTATCAACTGAATACAGAAATATAACAAGCAATATTATAATGATATACTAAACCCCAAATGAATAAATGAGGGTTATTTCCACTCCCACCAAATCATAAGTGACTATAAATATCAACTTTAGTCACAAATGATTTTATTAAGCATTATAGTATGAATTTGCTTAACTCAAAGGATATGTCAAGAAGTTCAAGCTGCCTCAAGCAGCAGAACCAACTTCTGTACAGCACGCTCAACTATTGATGCCTTGTTCAGGCGTTTACCATCCTTCTTCAGTTATCTCCAAAGAGTATTTTTACTCTTCTCACCAGACCATCCCTTTCAGCAATAGTCTCAACAACTTCTGCCAATCACCATTCATTCCTGGGCACATCATCTGCCTTTTCCAAGACTATATCTCCAACCTGCAAGTTCCTTCTGGATGTAAGCCATCGCTGTCTGGTGGTAATATTAGACAAGTACTCCCTTCGCCAATGACTCCAGAACTGTTCTGCCAAGTACTGGATGCGACGCCATCTCTTGCGAGCATACAAGTCTTCCTTGATGAATTTACCTGGAGGTGGTAAAGCTTGTACTGGTTTCAGGGTATGCAGGTAATTTGGAGTCAAAGGTTCAGGACTCTTGGGATCATTCAAATTGTCTACTGTGAGTGGTCGGCTGTTCACAATGGCCATGGCTCTATAGAAGAAGGTCCGTAGAGAAGTGTCATCCAATCTTTCAAAGGATAAGGACAGAGTGGAGTGAAGGACGCTTCTCACAGTTCTAATTTGTCTCTCCCAAACGCCTCCAGCGTGACTTGCATGAGGTGCATTGAAGACAATGTCACATTGGTTTTCTGCTAAGAATGTTACCAGTCGGTTAATGTTAATCTCCTTCATGGCCTTTGCAAACTCGTTTTTGGCTCCAACAAAATTAGTACCCTGGTCACACCTTATCTGACTCACTGCTCCTCTGATGACGATGAAACAGCGGAGGCCATTAACAAAGGCGTCCGTGGACATGTCATCCTGCATCTCAATATGGACAGCTCTACAGCAGAAACAGGTGAAAAGAAGTCCATACCTTTTGTATGATTTGCGCCCTTGCTTAGTGATAAACGGACCAAAACAGTCCATTCCACAGTAAATGAATGGAGGGGATGGGTCTGTACGCTCTGGGGGCAGATTGGCCATTTTTTGTTATTCTGGTGGTCTGCGAAGCTTATGACACTTTACACATTGGCGTATAAAGGAGGCTAAAGTCCTGTTTACTCCTAGAATTCAGAATCCTCCTGACCTGATCTTGTTTATAGTGATGCCTTTACCTTGATGTCCAGTTTTCTCATGACAGTCAGCAATCAGGAGTTTTGTAAGATGGTGTTCCTTTGGAATGATAACTGGATGTGTAATGGAGTTGGAAACAGAAGTGTCGGAGAGCTTCCTCCCACCTTGAGCAGTCCGTCGTGATCAACATATGCCTCCAGATAGTATAGCTTGTTGCTACGAGGTAGTCTCTTGCCCTTATACAGTATGCTATTTCCTCTGAATACACCTGATGCTGTAAATCCATGATGATGATACGCTTAGCATCCTCACACTCTGCTACTGTACTGTGGTCGCTCGACTTGTTTTTTCTGACTCGACGAAGTAGACGGCAACTGCTTGGACTGCCATAGACCAGGAAGATAACCTTGTGAGATGATCAGACAAACAGGAATACTCTAATGCTTGCGTATTCAAGGACTTGGCTTTCTTGATTTCTGGGTCTCCAATTGGTAGTTGTGTATCAACATCCACAGAGGGAGGTAAGTGCCTTTCCCATAAGATGATGTCCATGAGCAATGAACAATGGACATCGCCTTTTTCATTCTTGATTCTGGGGAAGCTCTAGGACTGCTTTAGAATTAAAACCTCTGACTTTGAGGCTGGACACTCTTTCACTTGACATCAAGAGATCCTTTCCGACCATAGTAGTAAGCCTAAGAGTCACTGGACATTTCTCAGCATTTAGACCTTGACTTACTGCTTGTTCGACAAAGACGGTGTCACTTTGTGTGTCTAATAGAGCGTAGACAAGTTTCTCAGAAACTGGGTCGCTTCGTGAGGACAACCACACAGGAACAATCATGGAGGTATTAGTGGATGTACTTTCTGATTCTACACTCAAAGACGTCGTAACAACCTTCTCATGTGCATTCTCAGAGTTCCGAACAGAGGATGGCTTTACTCTTTTGACGAAGCTGTCGTCATGCAAACAGGTTGGATGTCTTCCTTTGCATGTATTACAGGTATGTCTGTGACGACAGACATCCATAGCACAGCTTTGTGTCCCTGATGAACTGTCTTCGTTCTTCAAGAGGCCTTGCAGTAAATTTAGAACAAGCATAAATTTGATGTTCACTGTCTTGACAGAAAAGGCATGGTTTAGTGACTTTAGTAGTGGACCACGGATTCTCGTGCTGTGTGACCATCTTCGTATGGAAGACATTGGCTTTGGTCTTATTAGCCTTGAGATTATGTTTCTCCTTATTAGCTTCCGCATGAAGAGCGTTGAAGGACGTAATTGGGTTGCAGGCTATCTCAGCCTCAGCTGACATGAAGCTGGCAAACTCATGAAAGGTTGGGAATTCTTGAGTCTCACTCAGGGTTTGGGTAGCTTGACGATTCCAGCGGGCAGCCACTGACAAGCTTTCTGTTCTCTTCACAATCGTTTAAGATTCCCAGTCCTTTCACATGAGGCATAGCTCATGAGGAAATCGGAGAAACTTCTGAGTCCATTGGCATCCTTAGGCTGAATCTTGGGCCAGCTTGCAAGTTTTTCTCTGAATACTCTCTGTATGATGAAAGTTTGTCCATAACGATCTTGAAGTCTTTTCCATGCATCTTTATAGGCTTCTTCATCGGTTCTGTAAAAGATGCCTTCTACAGCTTTCTGAGCAGGACCAGTGACATACTTCTTCAGGTAATACAAAGTATCTGTTGAAGAGACATGCCTTTTATCAATGAGCGATTGGAATGATGCCTTCCACTCAATAAACTGAATGGGGCTCACACTGAAGACTGTAGGCTCTGGTGTCGTAAGTCTATTAAGTGTCATACTGTGTAAGGTAAGACACATCAGCATTGTGAGGTGATGATGATTCTTTTTCTTTCGAGTGTTGACTTAACTGAAGATGAGTACACTGGCATAATCTTGATCGAGCAGCTCACGAAGACGCTGTCGTACCTTTACACCGTCAAAGTCCCCATCAATGCCTGAAATCCTCTCAAAGGCAATCTTTAAAATGTCCTTTGTTACAGCTTCACATGCATCAATCCGTCGCCTGGTCTCATTGCTTGGAGTCTTGTGAACTCGAACCTTGTCAAATAGGTTCATCATAAGTACCTATAAGGTTCATAACCATTATTAACTGAATACAGAAATATAACAAGCAATATTATAATGATATACTAAACCCCAAACGAATAAATAACTGAGGGTTATTTACATCACTTACACTCACCGACCACAAGGCGGAGGTCCATCCTCGTTCCGACGAGACTTTCCGGGAGAGACAGGAGAAATGGAGAGACGAGAAGAAGAAGAAGAGGAAGAACAAGAGGTTTCGGAGGTTTGCCTCTTTCTTCTGTTGTATGTTTCGTCCCAAATCCACCAGAGCTCAGGATGAGCAGGTGGAGCAGGGTGAGGTGGACCAGGACACTGACGAGGCCCCATCCAGGAGGTTTACTGATGGTAAAAGACGAGCTCTGAACATCAAAAAGTATCTTAATCATTTACACACAATGTAAAAATCACAATCACACATTATAAAAATGCAGATCAATTATTTTATTCCACAACATGTGATAAAAGTTTGAATATAAAAAGCAATATTTTGAAGAAATGTAATATTTCAAGATTTAGTCAAGTAGTCAAATGTTCCTCTAAATGAAATATGAATATGAGTATGCAATATTTGATTGATATTATTGAATTAAAACAAGCTTTTGGTTGATATTCCCCTCTTCAGATCTGACTTCTCTACAGGACGTCATCTGCTCTGTAGAGGACAATGGTCATCAGGAGCCTCCTGCCAGTGCTCCTGAAGTCCTTCCCGCTGCCGAGGACCAGCCTCAAGATCAGGACAGTCCAGTCAGTCCGTCAGCAGACGAGAGTGCACCACATCTGCCGAGACAGCTGGACTGTGATGAGATCGTGAGGGTTGAGGGTGAGTTTACAGTCATAATCCAAAATATAACTCACACATGCTATTCTTACAATATATTATTTTAGGTGTATGTGTATAAAAGAAAGTGTATTAATGAATATACAAGTATAGTGATTATGTGAGAATTACAAACAATGTTAAAATAGGTTTAAAATAAGTATGGCTTGCCTATAACTATAATTATATTTCAATAGACCACATTTGCTGGAAATACATCATCGGCAAGAAGATGGGGAAGGAACATACAGCTCTGTATATGAAGGGGGTCGCCGTGATTTTGCCAAGTAAGACATTGTAAGGTCCACGCACTTGGCCCACGGAAGGTATCCAGTGGTGGCTGAAGGTTTCTTGCGTGTTCGGTCTTTTCAGCGCGCAAAGTTATTCAATTTTAAGTTCAATACTAATCTGACTCCATTTTATTATCTAATCTGACTCCATTTTAGTATGACCTCGAATTTAGGTTGAAAGGCAAATTGGTTGTTTGTCTGTCTCTAATTATTGCTATTATTCTGACATTTGGTTATTCTAGTTAACTCTTTACTTTATATTTACTCGTTCATTAGGAATCTATGTCGCTCAGGGGTTCTCGCTTCAGCCGGTGTACGCAGATCTCACGATCACAAACTCTCCAGTCTGATCATTAGTCAGAGGTTATGACTACTATTTAATAGACCGCCTCATGCTTGTCATTTTTTAAATAGTGGTTCTGTTTAGTCCCCTACATTCACCTGTGTAACAACTTAGTTAAAGCTCAGACAATAATCAGAGGTTATGGCTAGCACTATGAAATATGCTAATACTTCAATACTGTTTTTATCTAGCCCCCTATAGTTATTCTAACCACATAACAACTTGAATAAAGCTGAGACAATAACCAGAGGTTATGGCTAGTACTATGAAATATGCCCGAACCATGCTAGTACTCCAATAGTATTTTGTCTAGCCCCCCATAGTTAATGCAACTGCATAACAACTTAACTAAAGTCAAGCTGATCATAAGCCTAAAACAGATATTTCCTGAAAAGTTATCCCTAAATTCTGATTGGTTAATTGGAATGTTGATCCAGGATCAACAAGGATGTTGATCATCATAAAAACTGTCTTTCTTCTAGCCTGACCATCCCAGACCAGTGCCTCTAGAGGTGGCAGTGACAGTCTTGGTCAATCAAGGCCCCAGCTGTCGCCACATTAAGTGGCTCTGTCATACACCCGGCGCAATGTGGCGCCAGCCGCGACCCAAGTGGTTTTTGCTAGTTTTAGCCCGACGCAGTAATCATTTTCACATCCTGCGCCACGTTGTTTAAATAGCAAATGCATTTGCTCCCATTTGTGCGCTCATGGGCGTGCTGGTCTGAAAACGAGGTGTGTTCAGGCGCATTGTTGGCGCGTTGCTATTTTGAGGCAACTAAAATAGACTGTGCCATTGACCAACTAAAACCTGGTCTAAAGTCAATGGCACAGTAGTTTTTTTGTTATTTAAAGAGCGCGTTAGTATAGACGGGTCCACAGTGCATGTACACTCTGCTTATTACACACACAGGGACGCACAGCAGCACACAAACATGCCAAATATTAAAAATGAAAGGATTACAATGTAAAAGATTATTATTGTGTAGGCTACATAAATATAAAAATGCCTACATGTCATAATGGATAGTCATTGCATGTATCAGAATTAGGCTACCTATTTGCTCGCGCACAAGCAGCTCCGTTTCCTCTCTGGAGATGCGTTCTGTCCTTGCGCTTGCAAATTCCACCATGTAAATAGCAAATCCGCCATGGCACGAGCGCAACTGGCTCTTAAAGGGAATGGGAGATGAGACTCTGATTGGTTTATTGCACGACACTTTATGCCCAAAACACACCCATTACTCATTAAGAAGATAGGGACAACCCTTTTAGACCATGCACCGGCGTTTTTCCCGTAGTTAAACTATAAAAAGTGGATTCGGACATGCCCTAAGTGCACCTTGACTCCATTTTATTTTCTAATCTGACTCCATTTTAGTATGACCTCGAATTTAGGTTGAAAGGCAAATTGGTTGTTTGTCTGTCTCTAATTATTGCTATTATTCTGACATTTGGTTATTCTAGTTAACTCTTTACTTTATATTTACTCGTTCATTAGGAATCTATGTCGCTCAGGGTGCCTCACGGCGGCCGCTCTACGTGGGCCCCACGATCACAAACTCGCCAGTCTGATCATTAGCCAGAGGTTATGACTAATACTATTTAATAGGGCGCCCATGCTTACCATTCTATAAATAGTAGTTCTGTTTAGCCCCCTACAGTTACCCATGTACAACTTAGTTAAAGCTCAAAACAATAATCAGCGGTTATGCTAGTACTATTCGTCTAGCCCCCGATAGTTATATAACTACGTACAACTTAACTAAACCTAAACCTAACCCTACCCATAATTTATTTTTAAAATCAGTGTGAAATGATAGCTCATTAACAAGGGTGTAGAAGCACCTAACCTTGATCATAAGCCTAAAACAGATATTTCCTGAAAAGTTATCCCTAAATTCTGATTGGTTAATTGGAATGTTGATCCAGGATCAACAAGGATGTTGATCATCATAAAAACTGTCTTTCTTCTAGCCTGACCATCCCAGACCAGTGCCTCTAGAGGTGGCAGTGACAGTCTTGGTCAATCAAGGCCCCAGCTGTCGCCACATTAAGTGGCTCTGTCATACACCCGGCGCAATGTGGCGCCAGCCGCGACCCAAGTGGTTTTTGCTAGTTTTAGCCCGACGCAGTAATCATTTTCACATCCTGCGCCACGTTGTTTAAATAGCAAATGCATTTGCTCCCATTTGTGCGCTCATGGGCGTGCTGGTCTGAAAACGAGGTGTGTTCAGGCGCATCCTTGCGCTTAGATCGTTAAAATAGGGCCCATAGAGTTACTGGACTGGCAGGACCATCTCGACCAGTACATCATGGTCCTAGAGCAGCCCTCACCCTGCATGGACATGTACGATTTCTGGCTGCATTATGACGACCTCTTCAGTGAGGGTATGACCCGTCATTTCATGCAGCAAGTTATCGACGCTGCTGCCGTGTGCTGTTCCCGGGGGGTCCTCCATCATGATATCAAGATGCCGAACCTCCTGGTCAACATAGAGACCCTGGAGGTGAAGCTGATTGATTTCGGCTGTGGGGACCTCCTGAAAAGCACATTGTACAAAACCTACAGTGGTATGTATTATTTTTCAAACATGTAGTTTGGGACTTGAACTCTAGTGAATGAACTAACAACATTCTCAGAAGAAAAGCCAGTCATAATATTATTTTTATTGACATATTAAATGCAGTCAGAGAAAACATGCAGTGGTAAAGAGCACATTTAGACATGTGACAAACTCTTTCCTCCAGGGACAGCGAGGTACTGCCCTCCTGAATATTTTGAGAGGGGCGAGTACAATGGGAAACAGGCAACTGTGTGGTCACTGGGAGTGCTCCTGTTCCGCATGATCACCAGCCTTTTCCCCGAGAGCAGCGATATCAGTCTGATGGACACTGATATCTGGTCCCAGCCAGGCTTCTCCAATGGTGAGGTCTTCATTTCAACAATTTAGAATTAGACAAAACGGCTTTATTAAAGACAATAAATTATGGATAATCCAGGAATCTTTCTCATTTAACAGTTTAGAAAGTGTAAAGTTAAAGGTAATAGTCAGACATCTCTCTATTTTCTGCATAGAGAGCTGCCGTTTTATCCGAGGATGTCTGAAGAGCGACCCGGGGAAGAGGCTTCATTTAGAGGAGATGCTCTTCCATGACCAGTTTAAAGTACTGTTTCAAAGACAAGCTAAAATTATTTTAAAGATATAGTGTTTGTTTAGTTTTTGATGGTATAGTTTGATTATTTTAATATGGACATCTAACTTTCAATACCTGCAGTAACTCGTATAGTCAATCCTCATACATTGCATAGACAAAAAGCTGTATTTTTATACCTTATGAAATCGGTTTGTCTAATTTGTACAAGTTGTAATTGTATAATTCGTAATTGTGTTTCAGGTCCCCCTGTAAGTCATGGAGGACAGGGTCAGCTTTGCGTCTGGCGGGCTGACACGGGTGACCCCTCCATCCCTCCAGTCTTAGTGTCTTGCGGGGCTGGCAGGCCTTGGTAGCGTCTGGCGCCTTGGCTTGAGGCAGCAGTTTTAGCATCTTGCGGAACTACTCGCCTAGGGATGTGAATTGTAAATAGTTCATTTAGTTTTAGTTAGTTAAGTACTTCACCATCCAAACATATTTCTAAAAATGGAGTCACCTAGAGCTTCCCAGAGCTCCCTGTCAAGCCTGTCCCACAAATATGGCACTGCTGCCATAGAGGTTCCTGCCACTCACATGGCGACAGAGCTCAGTTTCTCAGCCACCTTGGGCCCAATGATCCTGTCAGGGCTGCTTCAGAAATCACTCTGAAGGCCTCAATAAAGGTTCCTGACACTGCTGTTCCAGAACCTGCTGAGGTCAGAGAGAACCAAATCAAAGGCACCACAGAGGTTACTTGATATGGTACCCTTTCAGAGCTGCCCTGGTCCCACAGCTTCTTGTCCAGGCTTGAAGGTTTCTGCTGCTGCAACCACAGAACCTGCAATGGTTTCAGAGCTCTGTCTCATAACAGCTGAAGTTGGAAAGCTTACCGTCATGTGTGCCATGAAGGTTCCTCCCATGATGGTGTTGAGATTAATGCCACGGCTGCCAAAAAACCTCCAGCCAAACAGCCTCAATCTTTCTTGTCATAACCTCAGCCAGAGCTAAAGCTGCTCCAGTCCCAGAGCTCCTCTCTCAACCTCCCTGGTCCCAGAGGTTCCTGCTAAAGCTGCTCTGGCCCTAGTGGTTTCTGGCTTAACTGCATCAGAAGATCCTCTTACAGCCCCAGTGTTTCCTGTCACTGGTGTGATTCCTCCATAAATATAGTACACCATTGTGCCACATTAAAGCACAATGTTTGTGAAAATAAACATGTTTTGTTTTATCAGGAAAACATTATGATGATCTGGACATTAATCTGGTTTACATTTCTCACTTTACCAGTCAAGAGTGTGTTGAGTAATAACCTCAGGTATGTAAAGCCAGGTCAGTACAGAAGGTCAGATATGCTGTATATAATTGCACTCAGCCATTTCTAAGCTTTTTGAATGCCTGATGGAAATACCAATTATTTCAAGAACTATAAGGTATCATGTACAGCAGTGGTTTGCAGTTGTGGACTCAAAGTACATTTTGTATGTCTCTCTTAGTTCATGGAGCTCTCACCAAATCAGTTGATGAACTGAATCAGGTGTATAGACCAGGACCAAAAGTGAAAACCACTAATGTACAGTCTTTACCTCAAAATAAAAGTCTGACAGGGTCATCAGGACAATGACACAAATATATCACGTCAAATGTGGCCTCTACAGGAAAAAACCCCCAAATTTGTGAAATAGGACTTGACTCAAAACCTTACATTCCATATTTCACTTTACAAATACATGACATTACACACTAATGGAATTTTTTATGAACTCAAAAGTGACATTTTATTTATCAATGAAAGATGTGTCATGTTTAATATATGAGAGCATGAGATATTTTAAATGCAGTGAGTGCACCAATGCATGTCATAAACATGATGTGTGGTCTGTACACTGACCATTAGCTAAAGGCACATTAATTCACATTCATTTAATAGTATAAATAGAGTATGCAGCCTCCAATCTCGTGCACTACGAACTGAGTAAAATCACAGTCCGTCTTTGATGCCCAGCAGGTCTCTGGTAAATTCTTGGTCATCATTATCCACTATAGTGCTACGAACTGAAGACATCTGGGGAGAATCTGTATCTGCACAGAAGAGAAGTGAAGTCTTACAGAAGGACATTTACAGTTTCATATGTTAGAATAACATAAAATGGGATGCTATTCTCTCTGTATCAGTCACAAAAACACTAAGGAAAGCATGTACTTACTGTTTTCTGTGTTTATTGTCCTCACAGAGACAAGAGTGATGCTCTCTTTCTCACAGTTGCTGGTCATGTTGCTGGATCAAAAATTGTTTTTATCTTAAGTTAACTTTCAACAGATCTGTTATTTAAATGTAGTACATAATATTATATTGTAGTAAATACATTACATTTTTTTTTAACATTTTTTATGTCCCATTATTACAGTAGGCTATATTGATATCATTAACTTGTACTTGCATGCTTTTTTAATTCTCATATTTCATTTTTTTCTTCTTCTTATATTATTTTTATTATATTATATACCTAAAACAGACAATGACGATAACCGCACATTCGCAGTCATGTAAATTTACAAATTTATTAGTCCTCACCTGTCAGACACCACCGAATCACAGCTTTTAATACCTATAAATAAAAAAAGAAAACCCACAAAACAAAACAGATCAATTATATTGCACATTTATAGCCAGGTGTGCTTTTAAAGGTAATCTTGAAAATGACAGAATTGGAGAGAAACCCACCCTCATGCTGTTTAGTATTTCTACACCGTCCCCTGAGGTTGATAGCGGTCACCAAGACCACCATGACAACAATTAAAATGAGTATAAGACTCATCACACCTGTAATTGCAGACAGGAAATATTTTAGCACTAGAAGTAATGTGTATCATGAGATTATATCGGTATAAAACCTACCAAAGGCGAGCAAAGTGAGACCGCTGTCTGGTGCCTGTGAAGGTGTTGCCGTCACCTCTGACATGCTGATGTTTGAATTAGCGGTTGTTGAAGTCTTTGGAAGCAGAGAAACACCCACTGCACATGGAGCAAACACGTGAAATAATAATGTAGTCTTAAATGATAAATGCTTGACTGTACTGCACAGCATGACCAGTTCTTCAACATACAGCTCAAAATGATCTTCAAATACAATTTGAGATATACAAATATACAAACTCATCTACATCTTGGATGGCCTGAGGGTGTGTACATTTCAGCTAATTTTCATTTTTGGGTGAATTATTCTTTTATTAGCAGTTAATAATTATTACCTGATGTGTTATGCGAAGAGAGGCCGGATCCATCAGTACTGCCTGAGCAAACAGAGGTACAGGTTACATTTCTGTCATCCACTTCCACTGGTTTTGATCCCCAAAACTCAACTATGAATCAGGACATTCTTGAATGAATTATATCTTGTCCATTTACATTTATAATGATACTTACTGTTCATATTTTAGCAATTAAGAGTTTTTGGGGGGAAAGCCAGAAGAAGGAGGTAAAACCTGTTATTTTGGCCGCTGGGGATGAGGTGGAATTTAGAGTTGTGTCAGTGTAAGATTTTAGTGTGGTTAACGTGGAGCTGGTGATGATGGACTGTCCTGTAATACACCCTTTTATAACTTTAATAACATTTATTGTGTCACCCTCACATTTTAGAATTTAACTTAGTAGAGACAAGCAAGATAAACCATCAACTTGCAGTCGAAGTAAAGAAATTGCAAAGTCTTCCCCCAATACATTCTCCCACTGTATATAATGAATATTTTAATTAAAGGAATAGTTAACCCAAAAATGAAAATTTACTCACCCTTTGTCAGGATTGGACCTGTTTTGTCATGTTTCAGTTCCTGTTTTGCCTTATTTGGTCATATTCCTGTCCACGTTTAGTTTGAATATGTTCTATTGATGTCACCTGTGTTCCCCAATCATCCACTGTATAAAAGTCCTAGTCTGTTCAGTTTGTGTTTGTCAGGTCTACTTGTTTCTACGTGTGTTTGCCCAGCTCCTATTGTGGATTATCCCGTGTTTTCATCATTAAAGACTATGGCTGTGTTCAAAATTGCATATTTGCTTACTGCTTACTATTTTTTTAAAGAATAGTGTGTGAAACCGTATACAATAAGCAAAACATGTTTCAGAGTAGTATGCTTAAGTGCTGTCACATGACAAACACTGAACATTAATTCAGCACAGCTGTCAAGGTTGTTACCTTAGAAACAAATGAGCTAACTGTTCTTTTTACAAAGGCTTGTTATTAAGGCTTCATACTAGTAAACAATGATATATTGCCCAATTGAACTCATTTAATAATTGATTAACTTTACATATTGGACAGCACTAAATCAACACTGAGCTGTTTTTATTGATATTTTTGGTAGTTCCACTAAGTGGCGATATATTAAAAAGCGATATATTCTAGTTACACTAAGTGCAAATAATGATCAATTCTGTTTACACTAAAATAGCAGCATTTTCTTTAGCAACAGGAGTGTAAATAGTAGTTAGGTGGCAGATATTTATACCTCAATACTGTAGTACATTATAAAACAGTATGCAATAACATATTGAGTGTAAATTATCATATAGTCCTTAGAGTAATACACTCCATTTCTTTTTGGTAATCCGGGCATTCCATGCATACAGAAAATTCACATACTATTCACAGTATACACACAGCATACTGCAATATAGTATGGTAGTATGCCATTCCGAACAGCTTCTGTACTGATTTCAGTGTACTTGAGTTATATTTAGCAGATTCTGGCGAATATAGTAGGTCATCTGGGTATTACATGCATACAGAAAATTTGTATACTATGCACAGTATACATACTGGATACTGCAGAAATAGTAAGAGTAGTATGATAGTATGGCATTTCGAACACAGCCTATGAATGCTACTCCGTGTCTCCTACTACGTTCTTCCCGCAGCAGCGTAACGTGACACCCTTAGGCCATAAAATACTTGGAGAAATTTAGCATTACGTAACTTTCTCGCCAATCGATCCTCTGAAGTGAATGGGTGCCGTCAGAATGAGAGTTCAAACAGCTGATAAAAACATCACAATAATTCACAAGACTCCAGTCCATCAATTAATGTCTAGTGAAAAGCTGCATATTTATAAGAAACAAATCCATCAAGGCGCTTTAACTTTAAACCATCGCTTCTGGCCAAAATGCCAGTCTGTATAATAATGCACCCTCCCGTGTTATCCTCTCACATAAAGTTCCACCGACATATTTGTTAAGAACTGTTATAACTTGTAAATGGTGCTAGATTGGGCATATTTCTCTCCTGATTCAGATTGACAACTTGTTCACTGGAGAAAGCAATAATATGGATAGAAGACTCACAGATAAATTTTATTATCAATTATTATTTTTTATAGCTTTTCACTTCATGTGGATTATTGTGAGGTTTTATCAGCTGTTTGGACTCTCATTCTGAAGGCACCCAAGTTCACTGCAGAGTTTCCACTGGTGAGCAAGTGATGCAATCCTACATTTTTTTAAATCTGGTCTAATGAAGAAACAAAATCATCTACATATTGGATGGCGTGAGGATGAGTACATTTCAGCAATTTTTTATTTTTGGGTGAACTACTCTTTTACCAGTGGGTAGTAATAATTACTACCTGATGTGGTATCCGAAGAGAGGCTGGATCCGTTAGTACTGACTGAGCAAACAGAGGTTACATTATTGTTTGTTTACTACACAGTATATTTACATCAACTGAAGTTATATTTGTGCCTTACCTGTGTGGCTAGAAGATACAGGAGCAGTGGTTGTGCTCACAGTTTTTAAGGTGTGACTGGTCATGCCAATATCATATTGAGATGACAAAGTGTAAGTCACAGTTTTTTCAGTTTGGACTTCTAAAATAATAATAAAAAAAGACAGATACATTTACATTAAGTTGATTTCTCTTCACATATTAAATAAATATAAATAAATAAACACCATATATGCTGAAGGAAGAATTACATTTATTGGTTCATGTCTAATTAATGGCAAATAAAGTTAAACTGTTACAGATACATTTAAGAAAACATGTTGTTGGTCATTTACCTAACCTATTAATATCATCTTAACAATGGTAAAATGACAATTACCAGTTGTTCAAATCATCCTTAATATGCAAAATTCTTGTTTAGATATGAGAATTATACACAATATGATAGAAATACTCACCTGTTCTTGAAACAACAGACCACGGAGACATAGCAGTTGTGTTTGGAGGTACTGTAGTTGGTATGTTTGGGTCATTTCCTGTGCATAGAGAACATACATTTCATGAAAAGATATACTGTATATATTAAATGGCCACAAAAAGTATTTGGGCACTAAAGGCAGACTTTTGGGGGCCACCATACATAGTCAGTGACTACTGCAGTTTAAGCCAGAAAACATTTTAAACTTTGACCCCCCCCCCCGCCTTTTTGCCCACGTACTGTTTTACACTTTTCCCATTTTCCTTGTGTTTTTTACCATATACTATATACATAAAATTGGCTTCTGATTGACTTACCTGCTGAGATTATGGATGAAGATGCAAACAGGGGGATGAGAAGAAAAAAGAGCTGCTCCATGTCTCAATCCAAATGGGTTTTACTCTCATCCACCTACACAGGACCGGTCGTATGTATCCCAGATATCAGGAAATAATTACAGTACTTATGTATGTGTAAAAAATGAAAAACAAAGCCAAACAACTATGGAAATATTCTTGAGCGAGTGAGTTTGGCTGAAGCATTAACCAGTATGTCCAAATCTGTTTCCTGTTGGATATAATAGTAACACACGAGGGAGTGCACATAGTATTACAAAGCCCTGCTGAGAAGCGTGTGTTTGGGTGTGTGTCAGTGGGCGCCGAGCTCTGGTTTGAGGGAGAAGGGGCTGCGGCCCCGAGCTTCCTGTGGAAGAATAGCAGGAAACAGGTGGGATGGCCTCATGGAAAAAAGCCCTCATTGATTGAGCCTTTGAAACTTAGAAGTTCCTAATAAAAACCTTATACAAACTCTGGTCTTTGCATTTCTTTACATTAATGTTACATTAAAAATGACATTTTCATTCTTGATTATTAATTAAGCAGCTGTTGAATAATCAGTTTACTGTTCTTTAAAGAGAAAAATAATTTTACAAGCAAATTTTCAGTCCAGCATCGAAAGGAGAAAGACATTATTAGTTCATGCATATTTTATTCAAGAGTAAAAAAAGTGATTTGTCCCATAGGGCATGCTTACAATATGTGTTTTCATTTAGGAAGTCAAATGCGAAAACTTAGTTCCAGAGAAAATTACAAGAAAAATAATCACAAATCCATAAAATTCCTTCTTTGAAATAAACCACGTCTGGACCAAACAAGGATCAGAAAACAGTGGAAATGAAAGAACCGTAAGCTTAATTGTAAGAATAATAAGATCATCAAGAATCATAATGATAATATAGTTTTCCTCTTCAAAGTGAGACACTGAATTTTCCTCGTGTCCAATTAGTTTACATTTGAATAAACCATGCGATCATGCTTTGGCAGCCTGAATGTTGCTTTTCACTGAGTAATATGTTCATTCACACTACTGAACAACTTCTGTACACCAGCTGAACAGAGAGAACAAAACAAAGAAAGAACGAAAGATGACGAAAAAAAACACCTCGGAAAGAGCGTCAGTGCCTGTACAGCGAAACTATACAAAAATAAAATCAACCATAATAAAATGATATCGATGAAAAAAAAGAAGAAATTAAATAAAAGATTACAAAATCATATCTATTTTTAGAGATATAAAAACAAACTAGACCTTTACAAATATAATTTGAAGGGAAATAATTCAAGTCTACTATATTGAAACACATCACAATTATAATTTCACATATCAATAAGGAACTTAATTGCATGCACTGATGCGTTCAGTACCATAGATGCTGTTAAAAATCGTTGTTAATAATCATATATTTAAATATATTTATATATTTATTTGACTTGCGAAATGTACTATGTGCATTCTCTCTCTTGAGATACAGGCAAGTGAGAAACAATCAGGAAGGTGGCGCCAAAGTTGAGCTCCATCTGCAGTTTACCTCCGTCCGAATGGTTGCTTTGATCGAGAGTCTACGGCGGACAAGCATCACCGCTCTTCTCCTCTACTGCTTCATGGTATCTTACCAAAAACCAAATCAAGAAATAAAAACCCCCAGGTAAGATTGCATTGTAAGTAATAAAATGTACAGGATTCGTCGTTAAATGTCCTTTCTTACAAACATTTTTCGTTTTTTTGTCATTTCAAATTTGTATATTTATTAATACTAGTAGCAAAACATCGTCAACAGTGAGATCATTTCATTATGAGATGGGATCATGAAGAAAAACTCGCAATCAAAAGAGGAAAAGTGTGCATGGATCCGGTACGGGCTCGTCACCCGCACCGACGAACTGGATGGATCAGGCTTAAGAGAGATTAACTTGGCATGTGGGTGGAGCCAGAAAGGAATGGAGACCGCCCTCTCTCTGATAAAGACACTTTCAGCCCTTCACAGGCAAATCACCCCCCACCCCTCCTTCCCATTCGACACTCCCAAAAAAGGCAGACACTTGCTGTCAGCAAGGTATCCGCTTTTGAAAATTGCAAGCGGCAAACTGACAGCAAGAAAACAGTCTGCCTCTTTTCAGTGAAACATTAAAGATAGTTTGGTTCTCTAATTGGACATTGGAGCAGGGAGGGATGTGTAGGTGATGTCATCATAGGGTGTTTGTTGGAAGCAGGAGGTCTTAAATCACGGGTTTGGCTTTGTCCTGCCATGCGTCGTGGTGGTGGCATGGACTCAAGTGCAGGTGAGTGGGCAGCCGATTCATCACTGGATGTTACTGTTGTCGTCGGTGCCGTTGGTCTCGGACATGTTCATCTTGCCCATGGAGTGGCCCACGTGGTTGACTCCATCCTTGCGGGGCGGCATGCGTTCGTTGATGCGGTCCAGACCTTTAGCCTCTTCGAAGCTGTTGATCTTGTGCTGTGGAGAGAAGCCGCGGATGGCTGAGGAGAGACGGGAAAAGCCCACAATGAACAACTAGACTCTTGGTTCTCATCAGCTTCCTGTAACTACATTTGTAAATAACGGCACGAGGCCTGTAATTTCTCTTTACTAGAATCTAAACTTATAACGCATAATATCATATATACACTGAACAAAATTATAAACGCAACAATTTTGTTTTGCCCCCATTTTTCATGAGCTGAACTCAAAGATCTAAGACTTTTTCTATGTACACAAAAGGCCTATTTCTCTCAA